GTTTGAGATGCGACGCCTTGCAATCTTCCTGAAGCCCCTTAATTTTCCCCTAAGGAGGCAAATTAATTGCCAAGTTTGGCAAACAAATTAAAAGTGTTTACTTACATGTAGTTTGGTTAAGCCAATGAAACAATTACGTAACTAAATTTGCATGTGTTTTGCTCTTGGACAGTTGCTCTGAGAACTTTGACTGGCGTTCTGAATTGTTTACATCCTTTCATAGTCATAAGATTATTGAAAACTAACTTTGCAGCAATATTGTAGAAATAATGTGATGGGATCTGTGCAGTTTTACTGATTAATGAATTACTTTTAGGTAAGGTAAGGTAAAGTCTGCATACGAGCTAAGTGACTTATCAGGCTGGAGCTTATCCCGGGGACATTGTGTTGTGTTCTTGGGCAAGACACTTTACTCTCTCAGTGCCTCTCTCCACGCAGGTGTATAAATGGGTAGCGGTGAATTTAATGCTGGGGTAACCCAGTGATGGCCTGGCATTCCATCCAGGGGGGAGCAGAAATACTCCTAGTGGTTTCATGCTACTGAAACCGGAATTATTTTAGGTACTAGTGATAAAATCAGAGACATTGAGAAAGGTTAAAGCTGGCTTAATGGGGTCAAAAGGAGTTACTTAGATTAGCTGACATTCCGTTGCAAATTGGAATTGAGCTAGGAGAGATGGCACATTTAGTTGTGCATTTTAGTTACTTCATAATGGAAAGGTGAACTACATTCGACGAAGTGAACAATATGCATTGATAGCTAGGACCACATGAGTTCCATTCATTTCTGCATATCTTTTACCTGTTTATTGCACCTCCTGTTTTGCTTTTGTTCACTTGTATTAATTGTATTTGGCATGTCAGGCTTGGAATAGTATTTCATTACTACAGCTGTACCTGTGGGGGCAAGCATATTACTCTATTTGCATGTACTGCACATGAAATTTGTAAATTAATGGAGTTATGTACACTTTCAATAGAACTTAAAAAATTCAGGGCATACATGTACACAACTCTTGATAACGGAGTTTGAGGTCAAACTCATAAGATGTGTGACACTACATGTATGTTGATGAATTAAATATGAGGCTCAAAAGGTTCTTAAAAGTGTCAAATAGTTGCTGGTAAACTAAACATTTTGGGCTTAGCCCTAATCTTCAGTAGGTGGAATGATCGAGCCATGCCATACAAAAAACTGTATACGTATGCATGCACGGAAAGAGTGCACGCAAAGTACAAAGTAAACAAAGGCTTACTGTGACATGAAAACCATTTTTTAACGTGAGTGTGTGTAATATGCACTAGGAACACAGTCGCAAGAAATTGAAGTTATGATATCATAATGATTCTATGAAATGCATGGTTTCCCAGGCTATTGTAACAAAAAAATATTGCTCTTTTTCTCACACAGTCACAACTAATCAAAGCAGATCGGACGCCAAACTTTCTTAGGGTGAGTTCATGAAATATTTCCTAGCCATTTATAGATAATTATTTATTTTTGGTAAATAAATATAGGTACTTTTGGATTACCTTTAATTTTTTTTTTTTTTTATTGTTCTCCACAAGTGTAGTATTTTCAAATTAACTATATGAAACCCAGCCATAATAACTCATCACTAGGAATCCAGATATCTTGAACTTGCGGTAGAAACAAGAATCGGATATTTTGAGAAAATATGAGTTTGAAGAAAACTAATTTTTGGGCTTGCCCTTTTGGGCAGGATGTTACTATGATTTACTGCTCCAAAAGTTTCAAACTCACAAGTTTCAAATTTGATATGAATTTCCCCAAAACTTTTTTTCTAAGAAATTCCTCATGCCCATTGGGCAAGTGAAGGACAGAATGTCCACCAGACCCAAGCCATTGAACACAACTTTCTTTACATGCTGGGTAATGGTCATTGTTCTGGGTTCGAACCCTGGCCAGGGACGTTGTGTTGCGTACTTAGGCAAGACACTTTACTCTCACAGTGCCTCTCTCCGACCAGGTGTATAAATGCATGGGTAGCAGTGAATT